CACACAGAATTGAATCATTACGGTAATCACTGTACTCCAAGGCAATGTAACGACATTGAGTTGAAAAAGAGTTGGGGGTCACCAGCCTAATTGTCCAGCAAATAATGATTGTATTTTAGTGGCCATTTTGTCAGTATTATAACGACTTCACCATACGGATATAAGCGAGATGTCTCAGTTTTTCCATGCTCATTTATACTTCATGAAACTATAAATCTTTGAAGGGCGGTGGTCGTCGCGCCGCGCATGTGCGACATTTGTGTTGATAAAGACTGATTTTCCCACAATCCGATGCGCTCTTCTAATGAAAATCACGAGTACGAGTTTTTACCTTGGCGCGACCGATAACCTCTTCGTTACCTTCCAATCACTAATGAAATTACATAGTTTTTACAAGGTTTGGTAACGTCTCAGTTGGTGTGCGCAAGTCAAAATCGTCATTTTGTTCATATGATATCCATCTTCCACGCACGAGTGGCGCGACAACCACCGCTCTTTAAATGTATCAACATGCAGTGCTGTTGAATTTGTCTATTGAGTCAAAATCAAACGTTTTCTCTCAGCATAAAAAATCACCTGTCAACTTTTCTGTTATCAAACATTGGAGTTCAGACTATGTAAATCACCCGGGGATTGATAACACTCAGTAGAATAAACTTTCACGGGTAAGTTGTTCACCATTCGACCGACAAGAGATAAGCGGCGCCGTTAGCACGCTTCTTATGGAACAGTCATTGAGTAATAGCACATAACTCACTTAATGATAAATCCAACAATATTCAAAAAATAGAATCAATGCCCAAACGAAGAGAAAGAAATATTTCTCACACACTTTTTTGCATGATGTTTCATATTACCAAATGAAGAAAGTTATAAAAATACATAATTGTAGTTTATAAATAAATAAACGCTGCTCGGACTGATAAATATGATATATAGAAGATAATATTTGGTAATCGTAGTCCTAAATACCTATTAAAAATAGCTAGACGTTTCGAGCAATGGCTCTTTATCGATAGCATAGAAGAAAGTGTATTATCTTCTATATAAAAAAATATATGTTCGTCAACTGCAGAATGACTGTTAGTATTGAAAAAGGATTTTTGTCGTCATTTTAGTGCAGTGCTTTGTAATAATATATATTTCTTTCACGCCAACATAGTGTTAGAGTAGAATAGCATATAAGTTACTTTCGATGGTATGAATCATGAAGTATTGAAAATAATTACATTAGTTCAGCGTATATTAATGGCATTTTCCGTACATTTCTTGCATAGTATCGCTTCGTCATCGCTTCAGATCGATCTACATAGCACGACAAGTACCATAATAATCATAACTATACATGGTAACCCCAGTACTTAGATTGTCTCGTCGATAGTATTCAATATATGTCCGACTTGTGTGAGGATGTCTATAGTAGCGTTTATTTATTCATCGCAAGTACACCAGTTTGACTGATAATATAAGACAGATAATATCAATATTTATGTTTACATGTATTCTGTTTAAACTTTACTGAAATTACAAGCACACATTCAACTACAGTTATGTAACTGAGACTGTGATAGTCGAATTGATCTGCAGCTCGCTCTCCTGTGATATCGTCGGCGCATATTGCAGAGAGGGCGATATAGTACGATCCATTGAATACCGTTGAGGGCGATAGTAGATAATATTCGTTTCATCTCGCTATTTTAACAACGATGACCAAATATTATCTACTATATATAATATTCATCGGTCCGAGCAGCGTTAATCTATTTAATACACAGAAGTACTAGTACATGGAATACTGCTGAACCGGAACCCCGGAACAGAATACGAAATGGAAATAAATATTTTAAATACTAGTCTGCTAATAAACACGACACGTACGTATCATGTACGGTTACACGACTTGGGCTATGATATGTAAATAAGTATACTTACAATAACGGTCACATGTCCCGTTTACGCTACAGTACATACGACGATTGTACATCACTTGAATAACTGAAAAAAAATCATTGTCATACAGTTATTTAAATGTATTCAAAGACGGTGATAAGAAATAAAGTACGTGTTCACACAGATTTATATAAGTATTGTGAGATTTAAATGATCATCTGCTGCGTTTTTGGTTCTTGTTATTTTAGTATTCATTCATTCATTCATTCATTCATTCATTCATTCATTCATTCATTCATTCATTCATTCATTCATTCATTCATTCATTCATTCATTCATTCATTCATTCTCATTCATTCTCATTCATTCATTCACATCCATTCATTCATTCATTCCAATTCATTCATTCAGTCCCATAAGTTCCAATTCATTCATTCATTCATTCATTAATTCCAATTCATCCATTCATTTTCTCCATTTAGACGATGGCAAGAGATTTCAAATAATAATGACCCAAAATATATTGGAAATCAAAAACACCAAGCTTGGTGACAATTTCAGATACGACATTTAACTTCTTGCCCAATCACAAGTCTCCCTTATGAGACCAATTACAGACGACGGCCTTCGGTCTCTCACCCAATCATACATCTCAATTATGTAACCAACTCCATATGACAGGATGTAAAAAGTATCCAGTCATAGCGCATCTTAATTGACGAATGGTAACGATGTAATTGACACTCTTCCCGTCCGAATTGAATGCATATAAGCCTAGCATTGCCATGATTGTATTAGTATTGCAATAAATCTGTTCAACTGTCAATAAACTGCTGTGTTTTCTGTGTCCTGTCATTACCCCAATAATTTTACTCCACACTGAAAAAAAAACTTTGCTACGGCAAATGAGTAAACAGGAGTTTCTTCGGAAACAATTATTCTTATAACGAGGATGTATTTACTTGTGTATACGCAATGTATATACACAAAAACGTACCACATATGTCATTTTGTATAAGGGTTAAGTGGAATAAACATATCAAAAAATATGCATATGCTCTGAGATACCTTCGTATAATAACCGTGGTTAAAACAACGTCGGTACTATCAACATGCCCATTCAGCCACAAGTCATTATTATTTGGACTTGAATGAAAGTGCCATTTTAAATTTTGTGTTCGTGATTGAAAAGAAATCATATTTAATTGCCGTGAAAAAAATAAAACATTATTTTTCTTCAACTTTATAGACTTTTGGTACCTCATTACAATATATTCTGTGAGAAACTTCTTCGCAAGAAAAATGAGTTGGAAATAATATAGTTTAGTAATAAAATCATAATAATTGTTTTTAAATCCCAGGACGTGGTGTCACACTACGCCACTGGACTGTCCCCATTTCTCTAAATGGTGAAGTATACACGTATTTCCCACATGTTGTCTTCGTGTAAAATTAAATCTTGAGATTTGTTCTTGTCTGCATTGCGTATTAACGCAAACACGTAAAAACGAACGTAAGAGAATTGATAACTGTTGGTGGCGCGGTGCAAGCAAGTAAAAATCATGATGCTAAACGTGTGTCGCTGGTGATGGCGTAGTTCAACAAATTGCTGTAAAATGTGTCTTTTAGCTGGCATGCTAATCTAACTAATATGTAATTTCGCTAATTCAAGATGTCACTAATAAAGTGAGATCGTTTTTACTGCAGCTAAATTAAAATTCGGTTAATTCATGCATCGAGTCAAATTCGCTGAAATGGCATGTAGATAGTTGGTGCCATACGCGAGCCACGTACGCAGTACATGCTTACTTTGATTCGACATAGTATTCACAATGCCGTGTGTTCGGTGTTATGATGGCAACCATTCAAAGCATATTTCCGATAAATAACGAATCTATCAGTGTCACCCCAAAATGTTTATATAAAAATGACATAGACGGTTTTAATGTGTATTTGTTTATATATTGTATTTTTATTATTGAAAAGGTTCAAAGTAAGCAGTTTTATTATAGTTTGTTTGTGTCGCCCAAATCATGGTCACTGTATTGCTTGCTATGCTTGAATACACCATATACTTTAGAAAACAGGTCTACGAGGTATATAAATACACTAACCTTGACTCCGGAACAGGTACTGTCGTAACAGTTCCAATATCACAACTATTGAACAGACATTAGTAAATTATAACGCAACTTAAATAATGCACTTAATCATTTATGACACATATAACCTTTTTTCGGAAGAAGAAGTCCAGCAACTTGAACTTTACAAGATTCTGATATATTTGTATCTACATCCAAGTAGATATAATGTAGCCATGGCATTTAAATGCAGTGGCGTATTAACTCCTGATAAAACCCGAAAATAATATGTATATTGTGTGTTCGTAGTTGTCAGTGAATACATATACGGGGCCCACAACAGACGGTAACGGTATCTGGATGTGCCTACTCGAGATAGAAAACGTCAGCAACAAAATATTGGCTATCAAACTACGAAAAGAAAATAACCTGTAAATCCGGCACTTTTATATTTGTATTTTTGTGACGTTACACACCGTAATATATATCACTGATCGTCAGTGTTGAGATAAAATTTTGAAATTGTCTTTGAATCTGACACATATTATTTATGAAACTAAATGAAGGGCCGACTTTTACAGAACAATCGGAATTGTATATATCAATTTAAAGCAGACAGGCTTAGTGTGAGAAGTCGATGTTGATTAAACAGATTTCTGACCCCTTATTTTGTACTCTACTACTCAGACAACTAATAAAGAGGGACTGTAAGTCTAGTAATCTCTTACTAGCCTAATTTTGTAATTGTTCTGGGTTAGTCTGGTCTTGCCTCAATTAATTCGCAGAGCATCGTCGAGTGCCAAACTCAGTACCGCTACCGAGTATTGGGCCCTCCAATCTTTCGTTGCACTTATCACGCCATCATCATCATCGAGTACGACGACGTGTACCTTTCTTGAAGGTCGCCTTTATATCCATCACGCCGACGTGTCTTTTGTTGTACCTGAATCAGTCTACACAATAGATAAATAATATTTAGTAAGTTAGGTGGTACATCGCTGGCTGTTATAAATATCACCTTCGTCCATGTTGTCACTTTCACTCAGACACTCTCAGCCCCGAAAAACCATGGCGTGCGTTCTAGGCGTGGCCGTTCGAAGCGTTCTCGTATTAGCCGCGTTTATGGCAACATCCAGTGTGTGCAAAGCCATTGAATGGGATCCAAGAGGTTATGTTTTATACTGTCCATGTATGGGTAAGTAGTAATGTCATCGTGTATAAATCGAAGAAGGCGTAATTCAGGTAGCTGTTAGAGTTGTGGATTCTATACAGCAAGCGGCTTCATTTTCGTTGATTACCAGTATTACACAGAGTACACATATCTATGCCGGATACATTCCCCATCATGTAAACATTAATTACCTCTTATATTTTCGCTAAATGCGTCGAACGTAATGATATCAATTTGATTACCAGTTCAAGGCGTGTTTGAACGGGTCGATGCGATTTGCATACTACTAAATGGGTGTGGGGCAACACGCACCTGAATCTTGGAATTTAAATTGTAATTTTAAATGTATACTACGAAATATATTAAAAACTATGCTTAGAAGTGAAAGATCGGCAATCTTATCGTGTAGCACAGCCGTGCGTTTGTCCATGTAATGTTGTGAACTTCGCCGATACCTGTGCCATGATCGATGACACGCCCTGTTGTGTACGCTTCCCAGATCCACAATCGTTTTATTTGGTGTTGTAATGTTTACAATAGTGCATTGTATAAAATCCACGAGTATATATTCCTTCTGAAAATATATGCATGCTATTTTATGTTAAGATCAATTTGGTCTCTAGTAAAGATACTGACATCGGCCATGGTGACAAAATGCCGAATGTATTAGTAATTGCATTACACACCAATTATTCACACTTGGTAGAGACTGATAGTAAAATTAACACCGTCTAAACGGTTTCTTTTCTGTTTTATTTGTCTACTAACAGGCCGTTTCACCAACCAAGTTGATCAACTCCTTGGCTCACTTTACTTCGCTAAAACGATCAACCGAACACTAGCTATTCCTCCGTTCATTGACTACCCCTGCGGCAAAAAATCTCACGGTCACGGCATACAGCTACCGATCCACCTAGCGCCAAATGTAAGCATAATTTTCTTTCCTTTTCTTCACTTTCAGGACGTTTTGGTAACCAGGTCGATCAGTTCATAGGTTCCTTGTTCTTTGCCAAGACCCTAGACCGCGTTCTGGTGGCTCCTCCTTTCATAGTTTATCAACATCACTTGGGACATGATGCTAAGAATGTAAGATTTTATATTTTAAAATATGATTCATCTGGGAATTGTTTTCCAGTGGCAATTATAGACCGAACAACCGTGACCGTTGTCTAGGCTACACATAGATTGTTGGATTACATGAACATTCCTTTCGTGACGTAAATCTTGTAGATTTCATACTAATTCCGTAAAATAACCACCTGATTGTTGAAACAATCTCAGAAACACATCGGAATGTCTGCAACTTTTAACGTGGTTCTTGTTCAAAATAATAGTAACCTAGGGGGTATTGTAACTTTCTTTCTTTGGCATGTCTTCCCACGCCGAGACTGACTTGACATGGTGTGGCATATTCCCATTGGTTGAAAATACTATGAATAATTCATGAAGCAGTACGGTCGTGATAAACTTTATATTGTTATGGAAATTAATGATAAAGCATTGAATGGGTCAAAAACCCAACAAATAAACCAGCCGAAGAGTATTCAAGCATGACTCAGAACTGTACTATTGTTTCTGATAAAATGAACGAGATGAACAGTGTAGATATATTAAAGACTTGATTACATGTAGAGACAAGTTGCTTTCCTTTTTGTCTTAACAATTAATTTGTTTAAAACAATACCAAACAATGCTACAATTGTCAAACATTCGTGTCCTACATTCCTGTCATTCATGTATTGTTTCAATCTTCTTGTGCAGAGTCTCTCTAGGTATTAGGTTAATTAATTTTAAACAAATTCAAATCTGCCAGCTTTATTCATGTCTCAAAGTACAATTATCAAGTTCTAATCATCAATGTAGTGATGTCTGCACATTATGTTAATGAGATGAGTTTCAAGAAAAAAAATTCAAACTAAAATAAACAAGCAATTATTCATACAATTACCAAGTCTGAACAGATATTTAAAGTGCGGTAGTTGCGAGATTTATGGGTCTCATATAAGCAAAGATGGCTACTTTGACTGTTGCGCAGATCAACGAGTACGAACTGACACGTTTCCAAGCTTTAATTAGGTAATTTTCATGTGATTGGAAAGTATCGAAGGAGTCACCAGCGGTATTCAGTGCAAGTCGCGCTCAGGTCAAACCTCATACTTGTGATTTCCATTTGAAGAGCGCATTGGATTGTGGGAAAATCAATATTTATCAACACAAATGTTGAACATGCGGAAGCGCAACGACTACCGCGCTTTAATTAACACTTGAAAATATTCAGACTGACATAAAATACAAATCAGTCTAATGCCTTAAGATGCTAGCGTACTCTCTATATTGTATACCTCTTTCGTTTAGTGACTTATTTGTTAGTTTATAATTTTTCTCTTTGTTGCATTTTTACTTGGGTTGTAAAATATTTTTCACTGAAATTGGTGTGCGTTTAATGTACATCTTTAATTGAATAGTCTGACCTTGCAGAAATTTACATTGGATTATTTGACAATTTCGATAGTGCTTGAAAGATGGTGCATATGATCAATGAATTTTTGTTTGTTTCCTGTATTTAGCAACTGATTATTTGAGAGTTGAGAATTTTCCAAGCCCACCTTATGATTTGCCCTCCCCTCACTGGAATGAAATAACCTTGAGAAAGTGGAAATGACAGATTAAACCATCATGGGAATAAACATTTTGAAGAGACTTGATAAACTAAAAGTTATAAATATTAATTTTCAGATTTATGTTCCATTTACTGACATCTTTGACTTGGAAGCCGTACAAGAATATCACAGTGTGATCAGTATGGAGGATTTTATGGATGATCTTGCACCATACCACTGGCCACAAGGACAGAGAATCGCTTACTGCTCTAGAAAAGCGGCTGACTTCAACGAAGATTCTTACGGTGATTGGATCTGTCCTAGGGTGAGTTGAGCTTATAACACTTTTCATTAATTTCATTAGTAGTGAGGGATGCGTACCATTGTCTGTATAATGTACTTCAAAAGCAGCATTTATGAAGTTGAGTTTAAGTTGATTTCTAATTTGTGGGGAATTATTTGATTTGAACAACACAACAAGCTAGGTGTGTGTGTAACAATGCATACCTCAACAGTTTATTTGGATCAACAAAACAAACTTTTCCTGTTCTACCATATGTGGTTCACTTTACCAATATGCACAATTTTTAGAAGTGTGAGGCACAGGTTTCAAACTGACGTGTGCAAGGACGAGAAGCAAAGCCTATTTTATTGCCCTTAACAGGTGGTTGTCAAAAAATATTGCCACAACTTTTTAAAAATATTGATTTGGTACTTGGATATTGCCAATCTGATTAAAACTAGATCTTTGTTGGGGGTACTGTTTTGTGTATTAATTTGAACATTTCATAAACTATAAATCTTGACTTATTACTAGTACCGGTATGTCATCACAAAGAACTCTGAATTGTACATTGCATCATGGGTAAAGCATATATTGGATGCCTAATCATTGTGCATGTGCAGTTATTGGCCACCCAAAAAAATTGTTTATTAATAAGTAAATTAACATACTTATGACTGCTTTTTTTAACAGCCTGGTAATCCATTCCAAGATTTTTGGGAATACTTTGACATCAACTTTGATCGATCAGAGATCTGGGATGATTTACATTACAACGTAGATTACGATGAATGGAGGAAAGGTTGGGTAAACACGTACGATCCATCGTCGCATCCAGTGATCACAATGATGGGGGCACCAGCACAGTTCCCAGTCACGGAAGCAAACGAACCACTACAAAGATACTTGCAGTGGAATCCAGAGACAGTTGAAGAAGGTGATGACTACATCGAAAAAAATTTGAAACGCCCATTTATTGCTATTCATTTACGAAATGGCGCTGATTGGGTAAGTTTATTGCATGTAGACAGAATCTTAAAAAATTCGTCATTAACGCATTGCCTGCGGATTTAGTTTTTTTCCCCATGATTCATTTCAGGTACGCGAATACCAATGGTTGGGTTGCCATAGAAACCATGACACATCAGTGAAGCTAATGAACACCCTAAATGACTGTGGAAATTTTCCTCTGTAACAGTTGGAGTGAATGGTCCAACTCGAACCAATTCATGAATATTCACCATCTGTCTCGGACTAGTTGATTTGGAGCATATTTCAATTTATATAACAATTTGTGTTCATATCTCAGCGCTGCAGCATATAACATAAATTTGTTTTTTACTTTTTCAGTCATCAACTTGTAACATGGCCGATGGTAAAACGTACACACACTTGATGTCTTCACAACAATGTGTTGGTTACCATAGAGACAGAGCTTCCCCAGTTACCAGGGCGATGTGTATGCAGACTGAGGTGCAGGTAGTGCGGGAGGTGCGTGAAGTTGCTGAACGGATGCATGCACAGTCTGTTTACGTGGCAACCGACCACCAACCAATGTTGGAAGACCTTGCTGACGGACTTGAGGATCTAAATGTAAGTGGAGAAAGCACATTGAAATTCACGTTATTTATTACTTTTTAAATTAAAACTGCAACTGAAAAGAGAGCTGACTGCTAATAAGCATATTTCTGTTTCATTTATTAGTTATTCGAGAATTATATTTTATGGCTTTAAACAAAGTTTGTTTATACTTTAATACATACAAAAAACACTACTGTACTACTCTAACAAAACACCAAACTATTCTATGTTCTCAGAATGCACAAAGCATATCCACAGACAGCAGTGTACAGGTGATAGTTACCAAAGTTTTACCAACCAATATCTCAGTACAAACTACACAGGATTGTGGGTAATCATAGGCAAGCTGATGGTAACTTTTACAGCTCTGACACAAATATTCACTTTTATTTTCAGATTGAAGTGTTTCACTTAGATCCAGAGAAACCACAATTAGATTTGTACATCATGGGTAAAGCCGATCACTTCATTGGAAACTGCGTATCATCATTCTCTGCATTTGTGAAACGTGAACGTGACATCAACGAAAGACCTACAACATTCTTTGGCTGGAAAGGAACAACCCACGATGAATTGTAATGCTGCCCTCATTTATGAATATGATAATTTCTTTCTTTTTTATTTCTCTATAAATTTCACATTTGCCTGGACGCAGCAGACATGATTCAATATTTGCTGTTTCCTTCTATTAATATTTGCATAGCGCAATCATCAGGTGCTTTCTCCATATCAGTTTTTCTTGTACTTTGCTTTCAATGCTACACACTTTGTAACTGAATAAAAACAGTGCACACATTACAAAAGTCGCTTCACAAAAAATATCAAAAAAAGTGATTGTTTCTGGTAGTGCCTTCGAATTGCAGCTTTCTAAGTACACGTGTACTCTAAAACTCTGATTAAATGTTGCCAGTATCTTTTTTTGTTGAATGTTAGCAGTTCCACTAAAGATGAAGATGCATTCAAACTACGTCCATGTATTGTAGAATACAACTCTCATTTGAACATTTTCCATATTTGAAACAGATTGATATTTCCTATGTCTTTTATGTATTTTAGCTAAGAAGTACTAGAAGTCTCCATCCATAATGGCAGACATTCACATTCAGTATTGTGTACTGCATTTCCACAAGTGACATTATTACACCACAGTTCAGCAAATGACGAGGGATGGTAAATCATTTGGTTACCATGGTGATCGAAATCTGTATAAAAGTTGAATATTTGTACATTTTTGATGAAAAGTAAATAAAGTATTGAATTTCTAAATGTGTATTTTTTTAATGACATAACACTAGCCTTTTGTTTTGAGGTTGTTTTCGTCGTCGTCGTCGTCATGCTTGAGATGTGGGTCTTTTCACCACCAGACATTCTCGCCCAAATTTTTCTGCATATTTTTTTTGTATTCTTCAATATTTCTGAGCATGTACCCAACAAACAGACAGAATTTGAGTAAATTTTACTGAAAAAATTTGGCTATTTTTGACCCAATCTTCTAAAGAAATTTGTGGTGAAAAGAATGTGATTTTGATTGTTGTGCAGAAATGACACTTCTGAGGTGTTAGGTTGCTAGGATGATTGGACTGCATAAAACTATTCTAGGGCGTAAACATTGATATTTAGTGTACATAACCAAATCAAAACTCTTGATTGCCAGTGGGAGTGTGCATTGGGTTGTGGGAAAATTAGTTTGTCAAGACAAATTTTGTGCATGCCTGGTGCCATGACAACCGCCCTTCAACCCACTCTATACCCACCAAGATTTATCTGCAGCCTATTTATTGGGATAATTTAATACAATATAAAATAAATTATGTGACAACTTAAATTGCCAACTCTTGCTTTAGAAGCGAGTCACTGACAGGGAAGCATATGCTAAGTTGAATTCGAGAGTTCAAACCAAGTTTGGTTTCCTTTTTAACAATCTAGAAAAGCCTTCTGATAATTTATGTAAACAAAAATACATGACTTAACCTGTAACCCTTCTTGTTGCCATACTAATGGCACTTGAAAATGCAAAATTTACTAAATGTGTTCACAGTGGAGCATACCAAACAGTAAAGAACTTGAAATATTTGATTATGTTGATTTACCAAATGAGTAAACAGTATTTACGTAGTCACTTGACCTTGCATGCCGACCAGAGTGTATCAGGTCACATGACCTTCATACACTAATAGCATTTAGATAATGAGGGATAAATTGTAGCTGCATGTTTAGTAAGTGAACACAGAGACAAATTGTATACAAAGGATAGTTTATTTCAGTACTTTCTCTGAAAAGTAAAGTTCCAATAGAGAGGACACTGCAGTGTCAAGGATTGTAAATAATAACCACACCTTGTCATCAACAGTGAGTATAATTAGCATATTTACTCCATCAGATGTACTTTGCAATGTACAAAACAAAGTATTCACTGGCCATGTGTTACTGAGTAAAAAGGGTATTCATAGGATAAGTACAAAATACAAAGACAACTCATGGAAATGAAATACTGTAAAACACATTGAAATAGCTACATGCAATTTTAAAGGGCTATGGTCCTGGCACTGCTTTCTGTACGGTATGGGACTCATAGCGACGTACACAACACGTGTAAAATACATTGTTTAAATGAAATTCGAACATATGCTAAACGACGACTACCGCCCTTTAATGAATTTGACTTGATGCAAGATTTCAAGTGTCGATAATGTCATTGTGTGAATATACTTTTTTTTTTAAATTTGAAATCTTTAATTAGCGAAATTATAAATTATCTAAAATAACAAGCTACAGTGTAGTTAAAAAGACGTGTTTTAAAGTAAATCATTGCAAACATTTGGTTGTACATTAGGCAGACGAGTTCATGCAATGAACTGTAAATAAATAAATACCAGGTATGTATAGAATTCCGAGGGAAGTTCATACTTGAATAGAGTTTACAGTATATGAGGTCCATAAGCAGGCTTCTGGTGTCCATGTCCATGACATTCTGTCCTAATTAATATGCTTGATTCAGTTGGTCCAGAACATGCCTGGCTACTGTCTCATCTTTGGTACATGTATGTACAAATGAATTCTTTAGGATTTTATGTTGTCAGACAATCAAGTATTCACCTGCTATGCAGAGGTGTGCAGATAATTTCAGTGACTATTGCACAATGTACTCAGACAAAATAACACACTGAAAACCCATCTATTAGGATGACCAAAATTAATTTACTAGTTAAATATTCAATTTAAAAAAATTTAAATTCAATTTTTGCCCTTTTTCTGTCTTGCTAATTTTTCTTTTCGTTTCTTTACAAATTTTGGTGTCTTGTTTTTCCTTTTTTCACGTTGAGCTTCCTTCACAGCTTGTTTTCTTATCTGCAAATAACAATATGAAAGAATGTACAAGATGGAAGTTTAAATCCATGACAACAATGATTGATGGAGATGATGGAGTTTTATTGACACAGAGGGAATAAAACAACATACCCTTCTACTGTTGGGAGACTCATCTCTGTGTAATTGGCGTTTATATTTCGATTTTTCATCATCCTCATCATTGCTGTTGTCATCCTCTTCACTATCATCAGTTGAGCTCTCATCCTCCAGTAACTTTGGTTGCTAGGAAACAAAAACAATGATGAAGTAACTTTTATTTGATCCAATAATGCTAGTCTTCCTCATTTCTCAATTATATGGCACAATATTTGAAAAGTCAACACTAGAAGGCGCTACATGAGTGAAGTATAGTCACTCACCTGTTGTGCTCCAGTTAAGTCAGTTTTCATACCTATTACTGCTTGGTAATAAACCTAAATTAAACAAACAAAAAATAAATAAAATTTTATTATTATATGATAAAAATATCCTGCATATATAATTTGAAAGTAACATCAAGACACACAACTGTGTATTTATGTATAAAATTACTTCAAGTTCACAACATAACGGTAGTCATTGGTTACCTGGTCAGATTGTCCCTCTTGTACCTTCTTTACATCTTGCTCAAAGTCGGTTATTTCATCCATGGTACGTGGTATATAGGATTGTTTGAATACCTAAAATATTGCATAATTAAATAGCTAATTAAAGTGTCTTTGATGAGAGGTTAATTAAGATGACGAATAAGAATATGGGTTAATAGTGTTATAACAATACACAATTGGTGTGAAATCTTCAGATTGTATACACCTTCCACAATGCATTTTACCACCTGACCATTTTTAACCAATCATTTTTCACTTACTTCTTCTTCCATTTTCTGTTCTTCAGTTACATCTTCTTCTGTTCTATTGATTGCAATCTCCATGGCCTAAATACAAAATAATGTTCATTGTTTTACATCACTGTATCCTTAAGATGTTGCAGTTTCAATTCAACAAATAATTGTATTTTATCAGGTTATTATTTCAATCATATGACCCTACAAATCTCTTCCCAGCAGGGTTGATAAAGTTGATCCAAAATGGCCGAAACATTGACCTTTGACATATTCATTTGTTCTATAGGAGGTGAATAATACATCATTGTCTAGTGATGTAGTCACTTACCTTACTTAAATATTGATCAATGTTTTCTCTATGAATGGCAGAATCCGTGACAAAATCAAAGAGTTCTCTCACTGACATCACAGAGACACCGTTTTTGCGAAAATAATCTGAAAAAAAAAATATATTGAGTTGTTGAAATTGAATGCAGTATTCTGAGCAGAGACATTTGTAAGACATCCATGCATGCAGAGTGGATTCATTTCAAAAATGAGAAGTTTTCATACAACACTAAAATCTATTAAATTAATAATTTAATAGAATGAATTCCTTTTATTCACTATATCAGTAAACAGAACAGCGTCTTCATTAAAAGAGCATATGAAAGTAAAAACCACAATACTGATTTCCATCAAACAAACACAGTGAGGGAGTCAGTTTTGTCTGTTCATTGCTGGAGAAATCTAACATTCATGATTTTACAACTCTATTTTCTTAATGAGAAGCGCATCTCTAAAAGAAACGCATAAAAACCAAAAATTACATGTGTTGTATACTGAATCATCAAAAATTGACTTATTTCTGCCATAGAAACACATCTAATAGAGCAAATATGGTAGAGAACTATGATAAATATACCTGTGATATTTGTACAATCTTTACGGAGGAATTCCAATGCCTGTGGATGGTCATGCTCTACAGACTGAGAGACATCAATTAAAAATACATCACCTTCATGGTATCTGTAGAAATTATTGGAATCAATGATATAACAAAATGATTTAATGTAATAAATATCAATAATACTGCATCCTCTCCAAAATGTTAGTAATGACAGATGTAGTAGATAGATCATCGATGGGTTATCGTCAGAATCGCACGGTTTCGCTAAAGCCGGACATTCATAACCGGCCCACGAACCCGTGCGTGATCGTGTTAGGAAAAACTGTATTTCACTGCAGCTAAATTGAGTCATTTGATTGGGCACACCAAGGATCTTGGGTCACCAATCAGCATTGCTGTATCAGATTCGACAATGCGACATACAGTAAATTGTGGTGAAATCTGCCAAGGGTTAATGTTGAGGCTTTGACCGAATAAATGATCCTTGGCTGGCGAAGATGAATATGGGTATACAACTTTCATATTCAATGAGGATCTCATAGAAATCACATGATACAAAACTATAACTCTTCAAATGATCTAAAGGTTATCAAATATCAAAATTCCCAACATGTGATCAATCACTTTGCTGCCACTAGAGGGCAGTGTAACAAAACATATCACTGTACAAGAAATATTCACTCAGGTAGATTTTTAATGGATTCAATGTTGATCAAATCTTTTTGCTGCCACTAGAGAGCAGTGTAACATGATAACTTACAGCATATTATATTCACTAAGATCAGCATGTACCAGTTTACAATCTTGATAAATCTTCCTTATCAACTGAATACAACTTAAATACAATTCTCTTGCTTTTGACTCACTGAGTTCTACATCTTTCAGTTTGGGAGCTGGCCTACAAAGAAAAATTCATATAAATCTTATTATAGTAGGTTGCAAGCTGGTTAACAAATCAGAAAGAATAACATTCTGGGCAGCTAAAATCAAATATGGCCGACACTGTAAAGTGATTTGAGTACAGTAGGTCAAAGGTCAATAACAAACACAATACTCACCATCCTTGTGTTCCTATGAATGACATCACCAGTACATGACTTCGTAATATAACAGGCTGTGGACATGGAATACCTGCATTGTACATTCTGAAATATCAAATTCATTTATTTAATACAGGTACACAGCAAAAATGGACTGAGAATTACCATGTTATCAAGGCGTTTTTTTTTGTATTTAACACGATAATTTTCATACCTTGTTAAATTTCGCATTTCTTTTTCGGCCCACGTCTGCACCATTTTTCTTGGATTATGCTTGCAGTAACCATGACGAAATCTTAAGATCATAAGTAAACAATAAATGAAGGTGAACTCCACAGTGACATTAATGATGTTTTTGGCAAACAAATAAACAATGGTCTAGGAAAAGCTGGAAAATAAAAATGTTGGTGACAGGAGACTTAAGTATTATGAATAGTTTATGTATTTTATTATTTTACCTGAATTCTCCAGTTACATATTTGTCCCTGTCTTTAAAAACAAGAATGGAAGTTTTGTAAACCTGTAAAATAATTTATAAAATAGAATTAAGCAGGTGTGCTACCCATTCGTGGAGGTTTTAGGCATGTACAACATATTCCTAAATATCTCATCTTGGATTCTATGGTGCCATAATGGATTCCATATGGTGATATACTTGATTCTTAATTGTGCCCTATTTCCTAACTTACCATATTTATTTCATACAGTGCAATATTACATTCCATACAGTTTTATACTGGATTCCAGATGCCATATTCACAATATTGTGAATCAAAATTGACTCCTGAATCAATTTGATATTTTGGGTAATAAATAAACATGTATTTTACCTTGACTGCCATGTCGTTACCTTCTTTTGTTGAAGCATGGTAAACATTAGCCTATAAAAATAACAATTCCAAGAAATTTATAGAAACATTCAATTGAAATGCACCAGTGAATAGGTCTCATGCATGACCCTTGAAGGTTATACATCCTGGTACTTTCTGACTCCTAAAGGTCCTACATCCTGGTACTTTCTGACTCCTAAAGGTCCTACATCCTGGTACTTTATGACCCCTAAAGGTCCTACATCCTGGTACTTTCTGACTCCTAAAGCTCCTACATCCTGGTATTTTCTGACCCCTAAATGTCATACATCCTGGTACTTTCAGGTGGTAATATTACTCTATTACAGCAATAACTTCCAGTATCGCACATCAGTTTTTGCCATGTTTAACTGTTTTGGAACTTTATTAGCGACTGTTTACATTTATGGAGGAAAATCTCACTGAGTACCAGGATGTGTGACCTTTTGAAGGTCATGCATATGGCCTATCACCGTGTTTCATGATGTTCCTTTGTTTCATATCCTCAACACATATTTTTGCCAAGAACTATCCTTTCCAAGGCAAAGTAACTAAACACCAGTTAACTAGTGATTACATTTTAGGTTCCTGACTTTCTAAGAAAATAAACTTTTTCTTACAAGAAGTTTTGTTTCTACTGTAGTTATGGACAGATATATAAAACACAATTTTTATGTAAATTTTAAAACAAAAATAAAATTATCGAAATGTGTGCCTGTATATGTTTTAAATTGCCCATAAATTTGTTTAGATTTTTTTCCCAGCCCTTGTTTTGAAATCTACAAACTCAAGTCAATTTATCTGACATTAAAAAAAGGTAAAAAATACAAAACAGAAAACAAATGAACCAATATTCTATTACACTGTGATAATGAGAATTCAAATGATGCAATCAAATTATTGTTTACCTCTTTTCCTGTACTAATACATCCACTGATTTCTGATATGACATGTCGGTTTAGCATCTTGAATAAAATCATCCTGGTACGAGGGTCCAGAACCTACCACCATTAAAGATAGCAATGAGAAAATGAATGAATAAATGAATGAATGAATGAAGAACAACTGTTAATTTTTCTGTTTTTTTGAGTCACTAAAATATTGATCATATAGTGTACCTTCATTCATAGTGGGTTAGTTGGCAGGTGGAATATCCATTATTGTTCATCAAATAAATCATAATGACTGTATCACAAACCTGTTCCATTGTTGCTCTATCTGCTTTATCTTTTACTCGACTCCTACATAGACAAAAATAAACAAACTCAATATCCCCTGAAATCTAACACAGTGGTACTCACAGGGGATTGATGTACAATCATGTGGGTATAAAAAAGTTTATCAAAAGTATCATACAAAAACCATGTACCCCTGTAATAAATAAAGCCATGTGATACTTTTCATAGCAATTTGATTGGTCCTTGCACACAATTTGAGACTCTGATGTCACTGAGTGACAATCTCCTACAAGGCAAAACATAGCTTGTTTGCTGACTGCAAACTTTATTTTGGTAATAATTCCTCGGAATGCAGTAAATTCAAATGTTTCCATAATACACTGATAACTCCAGACACCAGTCTGGTCTTTTTAATGTTAAATTTGTGGACATTGTAGGTTTTCAAACTCTCCCAACCCAATATTAGCAATGCACAAGATATACTGATAGTACTAGTAAAAGTTGTGAGCAATTGTAAAACACTGAAAGTATTACAGCCTTGCCATTGACAAGATATCTTCATTATATAGGATGAAATATATGTATTAGGAAATACACCACCAACCTGCCAGCCTCTGTTCTTTTATCACTACTAAGTAGCGACGACACAGCGGATGATGACAACCGTGGACCATCATATTTCTCAACATGAATTTTACTTGCGTATTTACCAAATGCTTTTTCATTTGGCTGAAACCAAAATTAAAAAAAAATTAAAATCCTTCTAGTGTAATAATAGAAAGGGGGAAAAATGCGCAAGATAACAAAGATGATTGCTCACTTGATTTCTCCTATGTGAAATTTGTTGATTTGGATTTGACTGAAAAAAATAACAATAACAAAAGTTAGCAGGGTCAAAGAGTATACAATAAAGCAATAAAGTGTCCTGTTTATTTCTCGGATGCTCCATAATCTGTCACTGTGAGGTAATTATACGCTCTATTATGATAGAGCTACTTAAACTGCATGTTTATTTATTTTGTGTTTTTGTAAACACTATACAATGGTGCATGCGTCATTACATGGTCAGTAGATTTTGATTATCGACCCAGAGTAAATAATGAGTTTTATTCACTATCACATGATCTCATTCTGACCAATCGGTATGCTGATCTGAAATAAAAAGAATAATAAATTTACAAACCTGTGAATTTGGTGACTTCACTGAATTATACTTCTTGGTGAAATCTGCAAGAAATTTACCACACTATGAGTAAATCACTCTGTAATGTCCAAGTATCTACCAATATCATACTTATATATCGATACTCCTATGTATTATTTACGTAATGTCATATCTGGGTTACTGGAATAAAGGTGGGATCGAGGCTCCGGCACTTGACCGTTACACCAAGTCACTGTACACACTGTACGAAAGTTGTCTCCTTGTACTACATTATACACTCGTCAACATGTAACATGGTATGACTGTCGCACAAACCTATGTATCATGGCTTTCACAAAAATAGTCCTACAAGTAACTATTTATTATACTCAGAGCAGTCCCCCAAATTTTTATCACATCTTATGAAAATTCATCGTCATTTGGTAGCACAAATTCCTGTTGACTTACCTCCTGTTTCATCTTCCCAATCCCAATCTGCATAATCTCTATCATCATCATCTTCTGATGACCAGTCAATAGATATCTCAGAGACTAAGGATAAACATATTCATGAGGTGAAGTCAGAGAAATATTCATTTCGGTCGACAAAAATAAAACATGCATCAAGTTCTAATTGTGTTCAACCACATCTGTCCTCACATTACTGAGTTCAGCTCTCACAAATGGGGAAAATGTGTGATTTGTATGCATTTTTGGCCTTGAATATCTGTTGTTCGGCCAACTGGAAGTTAGAAAACATGAAATGCCATGGATTTAGTGGGTTAATACGATAGAATCAGGAGTCCTTCATAAAATAGAAAGTCGGGGTGGCATATCCAATTGCTCTTATTTAGATTTAAATGAGACTAATGGAAGCAATATTATTTATAATAATAAACATATTTGGGTGTTTTTCAGTGTACTTGGTCACCATGGAACTAACCCCACGCACAAAAACTCACCTTGATTCAATAAACTGTTATCTACTGTTGTTTGGACCACTGGCTCAGGTTCTTCCATTTCTTTTGAACTTCACAGTGTTTTTGTTATTATTGAAAAGTGTACGATTCCTGTAAAATACATATTTTTGTGCTATCATTATTATCGATTGACATGGAAGATAAGTTTATACGACCACATACCCTGCAATATAAATATCTATGGTAAGACAGGACACGTGCATTTGTTTACCGGGAGCCGATCGCAATAAAGGGCATACGATTTAACCTTATTTCACAGTGTAATGGACCAAAATCACATCTCAAAATTGTCTACAAACACTAACCTGTTTCTGTATAACCAGATCTTTGCTTTAGTTCGACGTATTCTGTGTTTGTCAACGAAATAATGCAATCAATGTGCTCTGCATATTGCACAACATACTACACATCTATCGGTATTTTCATAATGCGGCAATTCGATATTTACAAAAATTATTGAATAATAGGCAATTAAATCAACAACGTTTATATCATTAATGTAATTTTGTTTATAAGTATAAACATTAGGTTCAAGAATAAATATTTAACCCATTGATTTATTTCCACTCATGCCGGAAAAATGAAAAGGCGAAACGATAGTCTGTAAATAACTGAAATAGTTATACAACCGAGATGTGTACACTAAACGACTTCCGCATGCCAAAGGTCGTTCCTTAGTGGTCGTAAATCAAGTTGACAGTACCCGATGACCAGAAATGTGTAGTTTCTCGTCAACCTGGGGACAGTTGGTTATCGTAAACAACAATGTTTCTACCTCTGGCTTGTGCGTTTGTCGGATCGGCCGTGTATTTGAACACGTTGTCGGCCGACTTCGCATACGATGATAGGTAATGTAGCCACGGTCACTTAAGAGTTGTTAGTCACTTATTCACAATGCCGCGTGTGTGTGCTTTACCAGGAATCTTTGCCTGTTCAATTTAACGTGGCGCTGGCGTGTACACGCTGCCAATGTCAAAGCAAACATCTCTTACTATTTTTTACCTATACTGATTTTTGCCAACTATTTTATTCAATGTGTATGCATGGTCTGTTTCAAAGAAGCAGGTTATTGTGGGGAAAGTTCATGCTTGCTAGCTCCCAGGGTTCAGTGGCTATTTAAAGTTAATAGACAAAAGTACCACCATTTTATACACCTCAAAAAACAACAACGCATAATGGAGTGTGACACCCGCGTGTCGTGTTTGTTTATGCAATTATTATTAGATAATCACATGTAAATCAGTTAACAGTTAAACAATCAAACTGAATCTAATTATTTATCTCTAAAGTTCAAATAGTTGGAAGATTTCAAATTGTTTACTTTGACTATTGTTTAAATAATGCATTTGAATATTATAACAAACTTTTTTTACTTTCTAAAAAAAAAAATTAGTCACCACTCACAATATCTGAAAGCTCACAAAAAAGTTTCTGGACAAATTGTTTTTCAACGTCAATGCATATGCTATTATTTTTAATAAGAACTGAATTTTAGTTTTAGTTTTTCTGAAACCCCCCCAAAAAACAAACTGGAAATGTACATTTTTAACTGGCTTGCATACTGATCAGAAATATTTTTTGTGTGTGGGCCTGAACATTATGGAGTGAATTGAGTGAATTCTGTTGTAGATTATGCATGACTAGTCAACCATTGTATCGTTGTAGTTTCTCTAATGGCAGGCCATAGAAAGTAATCGTTTTCTATAGTCTACTTTGCTCTAATTACGTATGTGTACTTTATCCTAGAATGTTGTGATAGGATAAATTACCTTGTGTGTTTTTGCATGTTCCTTCTGACCATTCTAAACCTAATTGAAATGCACTAACCACACAGTACATTTGTCAACGTTTTGGGCGTTGATGTAAAAGACTCTGCTTTGTCCTTTAATACAAAGTAAGGTTTGAATGATTTGCGTTTTCACACTCATTTGCACATTCCTGTCTTTTTCTTTTCATTAACATTTGGCAGCACATTGTTCTTCATTACCTAATTATCTTGCTTGGCAATTCAAGCAGCACACTTGACCTTTCTGGAACAATAGATGTTATTGTTATGTTAATTATTTCTATCTTAAGAAGATACACATTATTATGCGAATTTGATGTTACATGTATTATGAAAATTATTTGTCATTTGGAGAACAAATAATTAAAAAACAAAATTACTGTGGAAACTCAACAAAATTTCCTTCATTAAATGCTTCAAGTCAAACAATATGTAAATTGTAGTGGAGGGGGGTGAAAATAACAAAAATATATTCAAATTTATTTAAATTTGGGAAGTATGATAATTTGTAAATAATATTTGTAAGTCATCACATTGGTACTAATTTTAAAAAGTTAAATTTTTATGATTGTTAAAACAAATTAGAAAACTTGTATCTCAGATTTAATTTAACATTTTTTAGTCTCACAACAGAATATTAAACAGTTTCCATGGCAACGTGTCACAAATTTATAATGAAATTAACTTTCTGTTCACATTCCAGTCGTGCAATTCAAAAGAACCAAGATCTGTTGCCGGAGACACCATGGCAGAACATCTTTATGGATGACTTTTGGGGAACACCGCTTACACACAGCGGGAGTCACAAATCTTATCGTCCTCTGTGTGTTTTATCATTCCGACTCAACTACCTACAAGGGGAACTCAATCCATTCTGGTTTCACCTCACCAATGTCATCATGCATGGTGTTGTTGTTGCGCTATTTACTTCACTGTCTCAGTTTTTACTAAAATCTAAAAAACAAGGTTTTCTGTGTGGACTCATGTTCGCGACTCATCCAATTCATACTGAAGCTGTTGCAGGGATTGTTGGAAGAGCAGAAATTGGTGCTGCAATGTTCTTTCTTTTATCCTTCCTGATGTATATCAAGTATTGCCAAAGTAGAGATGCCGCTTGGCTGCAGGTACACGATCCCATTAGCCGGCGACACTTCACAGCGACTGCATGGCGTAACTTAGTGTTAAGTTTAGTGTGTGCAGCATGTAGTATGCTATGGAAAGAACAGGGAATCACTGTACTGGCTGTCAATGTTGTATATGATATTTTAGTTTGGAATAAAATTCCTCCACTCAATATTTTCCAAGTCTTTTACAAGGTGAGTGAAAGTAAAGTCGAGAATGGCCTCTCGCATTGTCACCACAGATTGATTTTACAAAGTTAAAATGTCACAGTCTGCACGGTGTCATTTTGGAGTGAAATGCGATGAATAAAACGGGTACAATATATTGTATGTTTACATAACATGTGATACAAACAGATGCTACGTGGCTACTATGCCTGTCTACTGTAAAATACTTAATTTTAGCTGGAATTAATTTTTACTGAAAAGACTTTTTGGGCGTTTTGTGTGGAATTCATTTTCAATGATTTTTGACAAGTTGAACGTAAAATATAGGAAAAAAGGTATATTCGATAGATTTTATTTTCACTGAATCATTCCTTTAGCGAAAATAGAGAAAATTAATTCTAAGCAAAAATAAAAAGTTCTACAGTAATTAATATGTCTATATTTACTGAATTCCAGATTAATAATTTATAATTTTGCCAGCGATGGTTGTTTACAAAAAAAAGCAATGATGATATTTGATATATTTTAATAAGATAATTTTTTTGGGGGGGGGGGCATCAGTGACTTGCAAAATACCAACATGTCACCTAAGTTGATATATAGTGTGTGGTATGTGACTAGAGTATGTTGTAAATCATATTAAGGAGACAGTTTATTGCCGCTAGCCATCCTGAAACAGTATACAAGCAGACTGGGACAGGTTTACATACATTTTCACACTACTGTATTGATCCAGACACTCAAAATAATTTATGAATTGGCTTCTGAAAGTTCTTATACTAATCGTAAAGAAAGCACACTTTGTACCCAAACTAGACTGTTTTTATGTTTCAACAAATGTGTACCATAAGTCCACATTACAGTGTATGTAATCTGTGATGAGTGAAGATAGTGTATATATCTTCGCATTGTGGGTTGAGTATCAGGAATTTGGGGGAAAATACCATCACAGAAAAAAAATTGAAAAAAAAATAAATCTAGACCCATTTTATAGAGAAAAGCAAAAAAAAATAATAACAACATCATCATGAAAAAAAAAACTAACTCAAAACTAAGAGAAGAAAAAAATAATTTGCACATTTCTTCCATTTCCCATCCTAGAGTTTTTAATGGTTAATCCCCTTAGGGACAACGTCAAAAGATCGATGTCGTATAAAAAACTTATTTCCTTTAGTTTGGGGGTGGGGGGTTTTGACCTCAAAAAGTTTCCATCCTACAAAAACGATTTTATTTTTTAATGAAGTCAAAAAAATTTGTAGTTCTATCCAATCATGGACAGAAATAACCGAAAAGGGAAAAAAACAAGAGAAAAATGGTTTGGTTCGAGTGTACCGGTAAATCTGTGCATCAAATGAGATGCATTTGTAAACTCTTTTTACACCCACCCGACAACCAACTGCTATGCAATACTACTGTCCTATTATCAATTTGTATTTAATGGTGAATGTAGTCTGACGCCATGACCAATATTTATCAATTAAGTTTCAGTGGGGGGTAGGGGGGTTTGGAAAAAAACTAAAGGAATTCAATTAAGTTTTTTATCCGACATCGATCTTTTGACGTCGTCCCTTAAATGTTTTAATTTGTTATATCAGTTCACACATCATAAACTAAAACTCAGTTAGTCATTCCCAAAATATTCATGTTACTGGTTGCTGCATTACTGATTTGTTTGTCAAAATTTTAGAAAAAATGATAAAAAAAAAGTTTTTTTTTTGAAAATTTTTAAATTTGATGACAATTTCAAAATGAAAATAAAAAAGGCATACATGTGCATAAATTTTTGAAGTTTACCAAAAATATTTTTACCAGTATTTTCTTAGCTTTATTAGGGTTGTCTTCTTCATATTTACACTTGATTCTGTTGCAGGTAAAACACCGTTCTCTTTTTCTTGGTCTATTATGTTCAGCTTTATGGGGTATTGTTGTCCTGACAACCAGAGTCTCTATTATGGGGAGTAGCCCTCCGGAGTTTGCACCAGCGGATAATCCAGCATCCAATCACAGCAGTGTACTAACAAGGTCATTGACCTTTAACTTTCTGCCCGCTTTTAATCTCTGGCTGCTGCTCAACCCATATCTACTGAGTTTTGATTGGTCGATGGAAGCCATTCCTTTGATAGAAAATGTACAAGATTTTCGTAACCTTGCAACAGTGCTGATGTTCATCAGTTTAGTAGTTTTCACTTGGTATTGTTTACGTCAAATGCATAGAAACGCTGACTTCCAAAAATTGACAAAGCACTCCAATGGAAGTGTAGACCTCGCGCATTATGATTATCGGTATAAAACATGCGAACAGTTTAAAAGCGTACATGTGGCGATTGTTGCATTGTCAATTTTGGTTTTACCGTTCATACCAGCAACAAATATATTCTTCTACGTTGGATTTGTTGTCGCCGAACGCATCTTGTACATTCCGAGCATGGGTTATACGTTGCTTGTTTCGCTTGGAATATGCGTCATACACAACAATATAAAGAAATCACATCACAAGTATTTACATGTGTCGATATCAGTGTTATTAGTGTTGTTCAGTGTACGTACAGTACTGAGAAACCAAGACTGGCAAACTGAGGAATCGTTGTACAGAAGTGGCATTAAAATCAACCCACCAAAAGGTAAAAAAAAAGTGTTTTTTTTTGTTTTTGAGCTACTGATTGTTTGTCATTATCTGTTATCAGCATCATCTTTATATTTTCAACTTATTTTTAAAAAACCCATTGGCAACCCACCATTATTTTGTTTGTATTCCAACAATATATCACAATGTCGAGCTGTTTCAGCTGACACTCTGCTTGTTAATGCATCAAATTGAAAGGTAGATATGTATATAAAACTACAGATTTGAATAATTGCAAGATAAATACAGTTGCAATACTATTAGTGAATATGTCTGTAAATGAAATGGTTAGTATTCCAGTGGCTCTGCATAATCCTAGTGTGTGTACTGCATGTTTTTGTGAATATTAAAATTATGTGCATGTCTGCTTTACACTTTGTATGTTTTTAGCGTGGGGCAATCTTGCTAATATTCTGAAATCACAGGGTAACATAGAAGAAGCTGAAACAGCTTACAGAAAAGCTTTAGAGTATCGTTCTAATATGGCGGATGTGCACTATAATTTGTAAGTATCTCCATGGTTATTACTGTACATCCTGTTAATTGGGGACCTTACTTTTGAGGCGATATCCATCTCGATCTTATTAATCACTTGAGTCTTTGAATATTGACAATATGTCTCTAACCTGTGAAACCTCAATCAGTTTGTGTTTTTCAGAGGTTTTGATTTTTTCAAAATTAGGGATAGATGCGAAGTAGTGAAAATGGGAAAAGATAAAAACTACTTGATATTTTGATGAATGAAATTTTTCGTTAAATAAATAACAAAGAGAACATAACTTGTTTCTATGGAAACAATATTTTGTAATTATTCTATTTATAAGTGTTACCCCCTACTATTGCTGATTGTTTTGATATAATTTTGAAAATAATTTCAACTATATGATTTGAAAACTTAAAATACTCCAAGTTTTTTTTTTTGATTTTCTTTTGGTCAGTCACATGGAGTATGTGATTATGACAATGGTCCCTCATAATGTACCGGTACTAGATGTAGGTAGCAAAATTAGTTGAGTTGCTGCTACTGTACAAGAAGTGTGTGTGTAAATATTGTCAGTGAACCGTGGCAGGTCGTGTCTGAACATAAAACAGACCGTACCTTGTAGTTTAACTGGTTTTGATAACAATGGGTGCAGTGTTAGTTGTTTGTTTGTCTCTTTCCTACCACTGCATACCATGTACCTTTCACTGTGTAGTAGTGCCACATCAGGGAAAGTAAATTGTGTTTTTTTTTCTGCTATGATCATAGTTAGAAAATTGTGTTTCTAGAAAATTCTAAAAATATTAATTAAGTAAATAAGCCATACAAATTTGAAAAAAAAAAATGGAACAAACTTTCCAGAAAATTTTAATTATCATCAGTCATAATGCCTTGTGGGTAAATACGTTTTGGGATTGAATTGAACAATGGTCACTTTGACCTGTTTCTGGAAAATGTCAATGTTTTTGCGTTTTCTACAAATTAAACTGTATTTCTGTCAACAATTAATTAAAGAGTATTTTAAATATATTTGATTGTGTCCTTATACACCAATTGTGTTGAAAAAAATAAGGTGGCACTTTAATTGTTATTTCACAAAAATATGTTTTGAAATTCGAAAATACTACATATTTATATGTGCAGCTTATAATAGATCTAGAAATAACAAGGGCTTGAAACTCACAGTAGCTTAAGGCACAAAGATAACAAATTCAGAAATTTGCCTGTATCGCTGTGTCCCACTCCTAGGTACATGTAGTTCCTATTTTTGATAACATGTTGACAACTTTGTTGCCAGTGAACCTTATTAGCCAGGGTCATTATACGTTTTTATTGCATTAGGCAAAATTACAAAATACACATGACCAATGTTACTGCCAGCCCATATGCTCCGACAGGTAACATTCCAGTCAGGCTGGTAAAGGTACACAATTTTGTGAAATTCTAAACACTTACATAACAAACAAGTGAGAACAAGCAGAAATCCGAATAGACAAATTCAGTGCATTAATGAACCAAAGATTGAATTGTTGTAAGTTGATATTATGAGTTTTACCATGAAATCATGTACACAAACATGCATAATAAATCACCTAAACATTGCACTGAGATAAAAACAAGTTTTAAATAATATGCCAGTAAAAAAATATTTATTAATTCAGGGTCATGTGATATACACATTTACATTGCATTGTACAAATGTAGTTGAGAATGGTTTTTATTTGAGATTTTTTAAAGAAAAATATTAGTTTTATTTTGTGAAAAGTACCATTGCCTTTCACAGATTAAACTATTAAAATTGGAATGGTGCTTTAGTTTGTCATATGTAGCGGAAATAATATGAAGCATTTGTACTTAAAATAGGTTACCAAGGAAACAGTTCAAAAGCAATCATATGTAAGTACTCTCCTTTGTGTACCTCATAGAAACACTTCACTTCAATAAAGTTTTTATTTCTAGGGGTGTTTTACTTCAAGAAATCGACCGATTTGAAGAAGCCATTGTGTGTTATCACAATGCTATAAGATATAGACCTCGACTTGCAAGTAAGTCTACTACCGGTAGTTTGTACTATAAAACCACAGAAATGATGAAATATAAACAAAGTATAGTCAACAAGTTACTAAAGTGAAAATTTCCCTTTCTAATGTATTGTAGTTAATACATTCTTCACTGGCCCACAGTATTCTAAATTCAGCCATGTTTTAAATTTGTGTAAAAGTGAAGGCATGTACAATAAACATCCTTCTGTCATTTATCCAAGCACAATAATAGAATAAATATGGTACATTATCACAGATGCCAGACATTATCCTACATTTTTTTTTTTTTAAATGTTTTTGTGCCAGGCGACAGTTCCTGAATTTTTTTTTTATTTTGTAAGTGCAAATTGCAATTGTTAGTGCTAACACATAGTGCATTTTGCCACTAGTCATTTCCTGTTTGGGACAACATGACAGGGCTGTGTGATCATCTTTCTATCAAATGGCAATTTTAATGCGCTATCCTGGCATCAACCAGGTCGAAGACAAGCACCTGCGGACCTTAAGCAAGGTTCCCCCAAAGTCGCATTCGTTTATAGTGAATGAATCTCAGCCAGTATCCTACATTGTAATGTACAACAAAACATGGAATGTGTGTGATCAAAACAAATTATATTACACGTACATCCAAATTGGATGAGTAATATTATAATGACCCAGAATACAATAAATACAATTTGGGGTTTATGTGCACTTCCAATACGATAGTTTATATTTCGTCACGCTTTCTAAAAATCCATTTTGTGATGATATCTTTGTGGGGGAGATTCATTTGAATTATTGATCATTTATTCATAACCATATTTTCTTCATATTTCATTTTTTGCATGTAATGCTATGAGAAACTAGCACACCCAGTTTTAATTTGGCCAATATTTGTTTCGAACGTCGGAGTAAACACCGTATTCGTAATCGGGCAATGGGAACGCCTCCCGCCCTACAAATTGTTACTTGACGCGATCTATGGCAACATTGTATGTTTTTGCGCTCGTTTTGAGCAGTTGCTTTCCAGTTGTTTATGAGTTAACATCTGTATTACGCTGTTGTTGATGAATAAACAAGATTGAGTTCTAGTTTACATGACGTGTTCGTTTCAGTTTTCACTTCCGTGACTGAGAAGATCCGAACCTTCCCTTCCCGCACATTTTTATCTCTAATATATTTTTTTTTTACAGTGGCTCACTTGAATCTTGGTCTCACGTTGGTTGCGGTTGGTCGTGATGATGATGCAGAAAGAGTGTATCTTCATGCCGCGACTCTAGATGATACAGGTCTAAAGGATCCTAAAACCCACAATAATGCTGTCATCTCTGCTCTTTATAATCTGGGAAGACTTAAACATGATCAAAAAAAATATGAGGTCAGTGTACAGGAGATCTGCTTGTTGCACCCCCTAAATTAAAGGGATTTTGCCTGAAAACATAATTTTATTATTTTTGTCTAGCTACTTAAAGTGACCACTTTCTCATTCTATCAGTCCACCTTGATTTTGACAAGAAGTGCAATTTGATATACCCTGGTAAATTTTAATCTTTCTGTGTTTGTTTCCATGTTTCTGTTTAAAAGTACAACCACATCTTTAATCTCACAATCATGTAAACTTAAACTCAATCTAATAATTCGACCACTGAAAAAATTTAAATTTTGTATTCAATATTTTATTTGCCATTGTTCATCTTTTGTTGGTATCATATCTCAAGAAGAATTTAAAAAAAAAATGTGGTTGGAGCCTATATTAAATGTGACATGTGTACATGTTCAACCATCCCAAGATACAGTGATGCAGTATCTAAAACTTAGTACTCGCAACCATGGTTAAGTGAAGTTGGCCCTGGAACTAGCATACATCAATTATAGATAAATTGTTTGCGTAATTCTGTAAATTTATATTCCCCATGTTTTTCTTTTGAACCTGAAATACCTAAGGCAATATTATTTTTGCTGATTTCTGTTGACAGAATGATTTAACTTTTCATGTTTTTTTCATGCTCTGGGCCTACTTCTAAATATATGAAAAACCCTGGTATATTGTCTATTTCACCATGGTTTGCATATTTAAAAACACACTCTAATCAGAACGATGTTTTCAGATAATTAAAATGCAGGTATGATATAATTTAATGTTTTGTCTCAAAACTTGAGTAAGGAAGAATTTGATTCCAATTCTTTTTCAATTCCAATTCTTTTTCAATTCCAATAAATAGCATTTCACTCCTCATTTATTTATCAATTTCATCCTTGCAAAGGTTTTCCATTCTCACTGATTGCTTTAAATTTATTCACAGGAAGCAGTTGAGGCATTCAAGGAATCGATAAGACGACGACCAGATTATTACCCTCCGCAAAGTTTGTACAATATGTTGGGTAAGTAAGGCATAGCAACATGCCAGACCCTGGTGGGTTAATAATGTTAATATTTTAATAAGCATTGCCTTCATTACCTTTAGTTTATGCATATGTACCATATTTGTAGCTGTCAAATTATGGAATCATTTCTGAATCTGATATAACACTGTGAGGAATCCATACTATGATAATCTAACTATGTGTGTGTGTGTGGGGGGGGGGGGGGGGGCTTGCTTGAGCCCTGGTGCAGGTACACATATGCCACTCTATGCCAAGACATGCCGGCAACATTATAATGTAAGATAGTACATTCATTTCACATTTTATTTCGTTTATATTTTGAGTTTCACTCACAATTTTTTACATCCTGAATAACACATGCTTATTGTTCACAAAGTCAGCTGGTTCAGTTCATGGCCACTGTATGTAATAGAACAACATTCTGTGATCTAACAAGGTTATGCAATAACGCAATCATAAAATTATAAATATAAATATGAATATTTTATTGAACATTCTAATTTGAGAGCAAGACATATAGAAAGATAGAACGATACAAAAGATAGAACACTATACAAAAATAAAAAAATTACAATTTTCTTTATTTTATATAAGGATTTAGGAGGAGGAAAAAATGAAAACATGAGTCACTATTATTCAGTCCAAAGAAATTGGATCACAGTACTCGACTCAGAAAATGATCAATCAAATCCATTTTTCTTTTCATCTGTTTTATGGCCTATTTTACCTATGACAAGAACATATCTCAAAATTTTGCTTGGTGAAAAAAAATATAGTGTCTTACAAAAAACTTTTTAATGTCTTGAAGTGTTAAAAATAATTTTAGTAAGTTTTTAACTAGTAAATGTGGTTTCATAGTTGCCTATGTGAACCGCTATAAATACTTTTCCATTTTTCAAAAAAAAAAAATATATTGACAATGGTGTCTGAGACATCATTCAAAAAATGTAAAGTCCATATATGGGCATAGTCTCAACAATCAAAAGAATATAACAACATATCTGTGTATTAAAGCTTTTCATTCACGCTGGAAATAATGGCTGTTCATGCACTTTAATCTTGCTATTTTATGTTCTATCATTAATATTGTAAGTTTTCTGAAATGCTGTTAATATTTAGCTTTTATTAACAACAACAAATGTCTCTTATGTTGTTCAATATTGTTTTTGTTCGATGTTCATAATTGTGAATGTTGCATGTCAATAACCAGAATGTTGCATAAAAAATGCTCAAATCTGACCACTTTTCATAATTTTTGACATTTAGAAAAATGTTCACTTCAAATAAAGAATCATGACGGAAATGGGTTTGATCTTTTTTGTAGAAATGATACATTAAAAAATCAACTAGCGATTACGTCTGCTCTTTGTGTTTTACTGTTTTGTTTTGCTAATTGCATGAAATATATTGTAATGGACTTAGGGGACTCATTGTCAAAACTTGGTCAATACAAGGAAGCGGAGAGTTGGTTTTTGAAATCACTGTCAGTGAAGTCAGACCATGTGCCTGCGTATTTAACATATGCACATCTTCTTGACATAACAGTAAGTACTAATCCTGTTTGCACTTTAACTATATTGCACACAACTTTGTTGAAGATTAAATGTTTCAAAATGGCTGCCATTTTGATAACAAATAACATTACCATGACGACCATCACTTTTACAGATAATACACTTAGGAGGCTGCCCAGTAAATATTACTTCATCTACAGTATTAACCTATGTTTGTCTAGATTGGAGGTAGTCATATCACATGACCGAATGACCTTGGCGCAGAGAGTAAAAATTACTGTAGACTACTTTAATTTCACCAGAGGCAAATTTTCGCAAATTTCACAGTCAATAAAAATCACAAAATTTTATAGCAGTGCAAATTCCTCAGGAGTTTTATGACAGATTATCAGTGACTTTCACAAAGTTTTGTCTTCATAAATGCCATAAAATCATGAAATTTTTTGAAATCATGAATGAAATTCTTGCAGTGAAAATTAATCGGTTCACAGTGTTTTTCAGAGTCAACATTACAGTGTGTGGTGTAACTTTCTCTTTATGTAAAACAAAAATAATGTTATTCCCATAGGGTAGACACACTGAAGCCACGGATATGTTGAACAAAGCTTTGGACTTGGAACCGGAAAATGCTGGCGTTTATCAACATTACGGTGAGTGGGCATTCATTATGCCATGCTTAGTAATGCTTCGAATGGTTGCTTACATCACAAAATGAAACAGACTGCTTTTTTCGCTGAAAAAAATCTTCTAAACTTCTAGCTACTTAAATTTGCATTCCCTCTTTTCAAATCTCTGAGGTATTATCATCCTAGTCCAATATATACACCATCAAATGTGATTGTGGGTGTGTAATGAGAATTATCTGACCAACAATTGAATGATCGACACTCACTGAGTTTCTATGTTTTGTTTCTCAGATACATTGTAGATATGTTTGTCTGGGGGATAAGACCCCCTAGTACTGTCAAAATAAAATGGACGGGATGATAAGGGCAGAATATTTGGAATTCACATTTCCTAATATGGTAGGATGAAAATTCCCCATAAAATTCCACAAAATTACGGCACGCTCTAAATTATGGCGTTAAGGAGACAGATGTATATTAAAATTAATTTATTAAGATAAATTCATTGAATTTAAATTATAGTAGAATGCAATACACATATCAGTGGTATCCCATATTTCCATGGTTCAATCTCAGGGAGTAATAGCTTTCCCTCCATATACACATTTTACTACAACATTTACGTATTCTTTTTAAAGGTCAACATTTCGCTGAAATTGCTAAGTTCAAAGAAGCTGCCGACATGTATCGTAAAGCCATCAAATTACGGCCGGATGATTTTGAAATCATGTTCAATGGTGCAAATGCTCACAGGCAGGCTGGTTTGAATGCAGACGCAGAGATGTATTACTGGAAGGCTGTCATGCTTAGTCCAGAGGTATGCAAGTCAACATGCAGGAATAATTAGCACCCTCTATAGTTAAGCTGCAGTTATCTTTTGTTTTCAAAGTTATGCATACTACCTGAGATTGGGAATGCACAAAAATGTTTTTTTTTTTTTTTTCAGTTTTACACATTTTAGAGTCAATGAAAAAAGCAGAAAAACAACATAAATATCACAAAATGCAAAAGAGGCAAAATGAAATATAACGAAAGAGGCAAAATGAAGTTCAGAGAAAGTGAAAGCCAGTGAATATTTTAGACTTTTACATGATCACTATTTATATTTTGATTTGTTTATATTTGTTTGTTTACCAGGAACCTAATGCGTATATGAATCTGGGTGCAATGCTGCATGTCAATGGTAAACTACTAGAGGCAGAACTCCAGTACACTAGAGCACTTAAACTGAAACCAGACGACCAAATGACAAAAGATAACTTGAGAAAAGTTCGTACAATGATAAATAGAAGCAAACAAAAAAACAACAGTGGAAATTAGGTAGTATTGCATACTTGAGATAGTTACACCTGTGTACACTGAACAGCAGTTTACACCTGTCTACACTGAACACCAGTTTACACCTGTGTACACTGAACAGCAGTTTACACCTGTGTACACTGAACTCCAGTTTACACCTGTGTACACTGAACAGCAGTTTACACCTGTGTACACTGAACAGCAGTTTACACCTGTCTACACTGAACAGCAGTTTACACCTGTCTACACTGAACAGCAGTTTACACCTGTCTACACTGAACAG